GACGGACTGAACTAGTGTATGATATATGGACTGTTTGACTATGCTAAAAATCTTACTGGAATAAACTATTTAACTAGCACATTGTATCTGTTTTACTGAGTGTAAGCTACAAAAACGTTTGTCTCACATATTTGCCTGCCTGCCTGACTGCCGTGCAGATTCTGCTGGGTGTATATCCCTAACACCATTGATGATAACTGAAGTCATCATCCTTTTTTTCAGGGATTAAATTATGATTCTAATATACTTTGTTGATATTCTGACTTGGCAATGACCAAAATGCTTAGTTTGTACAACATGCTGGGCACATAGAAGACCCTATTAGCAAGGGTGGGATTCAAATTTTTTAACAGCCAGTTCTGTGGGTGTGGCTTAGCTTGGAGGGCGGGGCTTGGTGGTCATGTGACTGGGGTGGGCATGGCCAACTCGACATCACTTCTTTGCCCTAATGACTGTTTTAAGTATCAATCTTTATAATTTCAATTTCAAGTTGTTCGGATATTTTGTTAAGTTCAATTTGGCTCTTATTGGATTGATAAAAAATAGCATATATCTTATCAATAAATACTTTAAAATGATTTACTTGCTTTATTTCCTTAATAGAATAATCTAAAACAAGTTGGAGACGATGGTTTAAGCAGTGCCATATTATGATGTTTGGAAATGCTTTTGCTATCCTAGTGCTCACTCCAGATTTTCTCCCAAGCATAACAATGGCACCATCAGAGCAAAATGCTATTAAATTTTTCTCTAGGTATTTCTTAGTAAACCCAACATTATTTAAACTTTCCATAACTGAAGAACATATTGTCTCTGCATCTTGTTTTTCCAATTCAACTAGCTCAAGGAAAACTGTTGGTGAGAAAACTGAATTCTCAACTTTTAAGTAAAGTATAAGAATTGGTTTGCAAGATACCATTGAGGATTTGTCAATAATCAAACATATTTTCAGATTTTTTTCAATAATTTTAGTAAATAAATGTTTTCTAATGTCTTTTGCAATGAAATCAACTATTTTCACTGCAGTTTTACATGAATGCAATCCTATTCCCAGATCTACTCCATTTTTAATTTGCACTTCTATGTCACCTTCTATCATAGAAAATGGTTTACATCTTTGTGCCAGGTCGTAAACCAAATTGAATACTCTACAAGTTGTACCTAAATATTTTTCAGTCATCTTGTCCAGTCCTTTAGTTAATACATCCTGCTCACGTTGCTTTAACTTCTCTGTGCAAAAGGTGTGAGCTTTAGATGATAAATGTGCTTTCATTTTTTTTCCTAAGAGATGCTTGTTGCACCTCTTTACTCTTCCCTGCTGCCTCAATTTGGAAATGTTTCCATTCCTTTGCTATGTGAACACTTTTTTCTTTTGTTGTAATCTCAAATTTTTGTGAACACTTTTTTTTTTGGAAACTTCCAGTCCATCATATTTCTCCTTAAAGTTCGTGTACTGCTGCAATGTCCAGCAGTCAGGAAAAATACTGTCAATGTCTGAGTTATCGGTTCTTTCAGTAGTTGATGTGCTGCTTTCCCCAAGTTGGAGTGGTTGTGGTTGTGACTTTTTGGATCTTCCAGTCCTGTTTCCGATCTTGTTTTCTTACTGAAGAAAGTGGCCAAACTCTGTTGCCTTTTTATCCTGTTAGGCTACTGCAAAAAAATTAAAACAATGTTGGCATTTGGACTCG